CCAGGTCAAGATACAGTCACCCCCGTCGCACCAGTTAAAGCAACAAAACCTAAGAAGCAACCCAGCGTGAAGAAACAACCACAGCCCAAGAAGCCCACCATGAAAGGGGGAAGCAAGAAGCTGGATGGACAGTCGGCCTCGAGTTCAGAATCAGATAGCTCTGATGAGTCAGATCTTGAGATCGAGGAGCCTGAAGAAGTATCCCCACTACCACCCACTCGTCCTAGCGAACCCGAGGCTGCCGCGCGGTATGACGCGCTCAAAGCTGTGTGGTCTCCACGTAATAGGCACCCCAATGTTGACAAGGTCAAGAGTGCACTGGTTGCGTTCAAAGATGTTGTCAAAGCCGTAAGAGATTCGTGGAAGGAAAGCAGCCAAGCCATGAAGGTGGCAGAAAACAAGGGTGATAATGACAAAGCAGCGCAACTAAAGAAGAATGTGGTCCTTCAGCGGCGGCTTATGGACGTCGTCGTCAGCACCACCCAGGAGCAAGGCCACCCAACCATCGTCGAGAAGTATGTCCTTTCTCTACTGTCTTCCCTTTCCTTCCCACATCTGGCATGTCCTCGTGGCCATAGAAGTCTGAAACGAATTGAGAGCCTCTCCCATGTAATCTACCTAGTGTGGGCTTTGGCATATAAAAATGTGCTTATAAGTAAGGGTGCATATATGCTCTTCATCCGAGGACTAAACATACCTAGCTGTGTGTCCTCAAGCACGAGGCAAATGAGGATAGAATGCCCATCCTGGATCAGACAAGCAATCTCCTGCCGTCATTGTACAGGTGCCCAAAGGGTGTTCCGTTGTGGTGTCACCCTTCGGAGCGTGAACTTTGTTAGCCTGCGGATGCCTTGCATCTGCTTATTGATATTTTCACGTTCATTTGCTAGATTGTGCCGGACGCTGACGTATGTGTTTCCAGGTTGGGTGAACATCCAATGGCTGTAGCTGCCCTGTATTCATTCTTGCTGGATCGTCACCAGGCTTCTGATATTGACGGTACTCTGACTGTGAATATACTCAAGGTAAATTAAAAAGCGGCTTTGGAACCTCTTGTTGAATCAGGACTGACCTTCACTGTAGTTGCTTTCCAGATTCGTGACAATGGATGAAGATGTTCTTCAGAAAACGAACGTTGCCAAATTACTGCCTAGATTCGTCAAAAAGGGCGGACCGGCAGTGAAAGAGCTGGCTCAAAAGATCATGGACAATGCCGCTGCCTCAACGAAACGGAAACTAGAAGCGGGTAAATCCGCTTCGAAGGACGGTTCGCCTAAACCTTCAGTGGCTGACGGCCCCGTCCCAGATGGACGTGGTGGTGAGGGCACTGGATCTAAGAGGCCCAGAGAAGGTGAAGGGAATGGGCAACCAGCAACCAAGCGAATGGTTGTCCCTGCACACCCCAAACCGGCAGCAAAACCAAACAGCACTGTGGTTTCTGGTGTCAGCAAACGCCCGCAGGAGGTAGGACAAGATAGCAAACCAGCTGCAGCTAATGCAGCCCGCCCCAAGGCCAACATAATTGCACCGAAACCTACCAGCCTGTTTGGTAGTTTGAGCTCGGCCTCTAAAAGACCTGGAACATCAAACGCAGAGCGAGCGGCCGCGGCGGCCGCAGCGAAAGCAAGGTGCGTGTCATTTCATTATCTTTCTGCTAGTTTGATGGCTAACATAATGAGCAGTAACCCTGCGGAAAAGAAGGAACCCCCGCCCCCAAGGCCTACTTTCTCATTCGGGGATTTGATGGCAGATTTGAACAAGCAAAAGGATCCTGCTCCTGTACAGCCTGCGGAGGATAGACCCCCCGAGACCGAAGAAGAACGGAAGAAGAGGTTGCGTAAAGAGGCACGCCGGAAGTTGCGTGTCACATGGAAGCCTGATGCGTCACTTACGGAAGTTCGTCTATTCACGCATGACCCTGAAGAAGAACTCGGTCCTGGCGATCACCTGGGAGATGTCAAGGGTGAAGGCAGTGTGCTAAAACTTCACCGAGACCTCGACGAGCTTGAGGAGGAAGATGACGGTGGCATCCGTGAAGAGCAATTGTTCGACTACGATGAGCCTTCGGGTAGGTCGTTGAATTTTGTGATGTTGTCGTTTTGTGTCTGGATACTAACCGACTCAGAAATTGACAACGGCGACATCGCACCCGACGATCGCGCGAGAAACTACATCAAGCGCGGTGGCACTGCTGAGCCGACTAGTCCTGAAAAGAGTGCTCAGGAGCATCGGGAGGCCACGACGCTTATGGTCTTCTATACCTCGCCAGCAGACGTACCGTCGACACCAAAGGAACCTCCCCCAGCGGAAGCGGAAGACACCGCCCCCGAAGTTGTTTCCTTTGGGGAACTACCGGACCATGTCAAGGTATGTTCCGTTTCCCATTCTTGCATTCGACGTCTTCTGACAACCGTGCTAGGCCCGACAAGATCGATACTTCGCGATGGTGAACCCTAAGCCAGCACCAGCTCCCCAGAGCGCACCGAACGCGCCATTCGATATCTCGAATTTACTCAAGATCATCCAAAGCGCGCCTCAGCAACAATCTACTCCACCACTAGCTCAACCCCAAGTCGCCCAAGCACCCATGTCCGATCTTGAGCGAACCTTCAGCATGTTCCGCCAGCAGCAGCAGCAGCAGCCGCCCCCGCCTCCGCAGGCACCATTGCTGCAAATGCCCCAGTTCCCACCGGCTTCTCAGCCCCAAGCTACTCAGGGTGTAGATTTCCAGGGACTTTTGTCGATCTTCAATGCTCAAAAGCAGATGCAACCTGCACCCATTGTACCGCAGGTCCAGCCATCCCAACCTAGCATCGCTCCTAATCTGGCCGCTATTATTTCCCAATTAACTAGTCAAAACCAATCAGCTGCGGCCAATGGGCATCCGCCGCCAGGCCACTACGAGGATCCGGAGCGGAAGCGTATACGTGAAACCGGCGGATATGACGGAAACGACGATGAAAGGTTCAATTCCAAACGAAGCAGATCAAATGAGCCGAACAAGAAGCATGTAAGTGCCCCTCACTTTGCATTGTTTTACTCCAATGCTAATATAACTCTAGCCCAAAGCAGGATTGGTTCCTTGTCGGTACTGGCGAGAAGGCAAGTGCCGCAAAGGTGACGAATGCACGTTCCGCCATGATCCCTTGGACTGACGCTTCTCTTTCTCTTCTCCTGATACCCCTCTTGGTTCTCCTTCATTTATACATTTCTGTAATTTCACATTCTCGCATTTTTATATCACCTTACCATTGTACATTTGCCTTGCATGTGTTGCATTGTCAATCAACGGTGTCCCAACCTTTCCTTATGTTGGCAGAATTTTCATAGCGTCACGCATCTCATTTCGGAGCATACCATATGTGGAGTATCTAAGGTGTTGCGTGAGGATTACGATTATATGTCTTATTCTCTCTATCGGCTACACGTTTCTGAGTGTGTTGATGCTGTGTCTGGCGTTCAGGGTGTGTGGCTGCTCAAGAACGAGCAGACTAGCATGTACATTAATAGTGATCAACCGTGGCAAGGGTTTATCTGCCGCCGAAACAACCAGCGACCATATTTCCTTTGTTCAATTCTTTCCTCCCTGTAGCTTTAAGCTTAACAGAGATAATCAATGTATCCAATGATGTTATCCTCGTGTCTCTTACGCATTAACATTGATAGCAATATCGATAACCCGCTTAGGTAATCCCATAAACATGTCAGTACAGTACTAGTTAAACACCTCCATCCACATTAATCAACAATCACCATCACAAACAACGCCTCAACTTTGGGAACACTACATCAACACATTTCCTATAAATATACCCCACACCCCTCTCACACTCCACACATTCCCCTTATACCCAGCCCATAACTCCAACCCATAATGCCAAACCAACAACCCCACTACACCCACCTAATCATCGTCTGCTGCCACGCCATATACACCGGCGGGCCTACAAACGGTCAATCCGAAGATGAATGGTACGCAGCCGACTTCATGATCCCACCACTAGATCCTACTGATATGATGAATGTTCAATGTATAATTAATTGTCTGATGCTAATTACGGGAACAGGATCATAGAACCCTTCCAAAAGGGCGAAACACCCACGTTCACGAACCACGTCAAGGCTGGATTACGGACTTTGGCTGATGATCCGGATGCCTTGTTGGTGTTTTCGGGGTACGTATGATGCTTATTACTTGTCTGGATGGTTCTGCTTGTGCTATGTTTGGTTGAACTAGGGCGGGGGACGTGGTTGTATGGTTATACATAATGTTGTATTGTGTTGGTTGACTTGTTTGCTGATGTATGGCTAAATATAGAGGACCTACGAAGAAAGGACGCACGGATCTTGCGGAGGGGGTATCGTATCTTGTAAGTTACCAGTTCCGATTCATATCTATTATGTCTATCTCTTCTCCCCCGTGACATGACAAGGACCGGTTGTCACTAATACACAACGCCAGAACCTCGCCAAAGACAACAACTACTTTGGTTTCGCTCCACGGATAGACCCCGCGCAAGTGGTCGCTGAGACCTACGCTACAGATTCATATCAGAACGTCTTGTTCTCAATGCTCCGGTATAGACTGTGCACAGGTGTTTATCCGTGCCGGGTGACTGTTGTAACGCATGAGTTTAAAGGGAAGCGGTTTGTAGAGTGTCATTTTCCGGCCTTGGGCCTCTCCAGCTCTGCATCTACGGTTGTTGGGATCAATCCGCCCGAGGAGGTGACGCCGTTGGCTTCCCTTGTGGCTGGGGAGGAGAAAAGTGGGATTGGGTTGTGGAGGAGTGATAGATATGGGGTGCAGAGGGAGTTAGCGGGGAAGAGGGTTAAGCGTGGGTGGAGGGCCGGGATGGAGGATGGGGTGTTTGTGAATGTGGGTTTGGAGGCTGTTGTGGAGGAGTTGGTGAGGTGGGATGGAGAGGAGAACGGAAATGAAAGGTTTCCTAGAATGGAGGAGTTGCCTTGGTGGGGACAGGTGTAATAATGTAATAATGCAGATAGATTCGTTAGTCATTGGTAGATAGCAATCATGCTGGTTGTGAGAAAATAGATGTAGAATACACAGTGATGAAAAGATGCCCGAAATGCTCCCGAATACAGATCCCGCCCTCTCTTCCGTAACGCCTCCGTTTAAACACCTGATGATGCGGAGCAGTGACTAGTCGGCAAGACGATAGCTGACGAGTGTCTCTACGCGGTGGTTGTTGGTGCTGAAGCTCCGGAGCTGCACCTTCTCTGCATTCTTGATTTCTTTGGCGTCGCTGTCGCCCCATTCTACGGGGACCTCGGAGTCGGCATCGGCGTATACCAGAACGTTGAATGTGCAGTCGCCATCCAGGACGGGCAGGAATGTGACTGATGCGGTGATCTGGCGGAAGATAGCCTGGATCTCGTCTTGGATTTCCTTCTCTGTTTTCTCGACGGTGGCAGCGGCTTGGGGATCCTTATCACTGTAGAAGGCGAGGCCTGGTTAGCGGGGTGGAGTAGGGGGTATAGTGGTAGAAACCTACCCAGGAGCTGCGTTCTCCTTGTCGCCAGTAGTGCGGGATGATTGGCTCTTGGAATGCTTTCCGAAGATTTGCACCTGATACCTCGTTAGTCCTGTACACGGTGAGAGGACACAACTTGCGTACATCAAACTGCCATCTTTCCACGTGTTCACCAGTTTCCTTGTCCGTGATGACAATAACAAGCTTAGAGATCTTGCCACCCGTCATCCATTTGTTCAATTGCGACATTATCTTCTTGATGTAAGCTTTGACCTGGTCGTCGGCGGTAACTACTATTGGTTAACAAGGCAACTCCAGTAGCAGGTTCGTAGTGACAAACCCAGCATGTTGAGACCATATTTCTTGACACTTGGTAAAACTTGGTTAGTCTGCTTCCATAATAGCAGGCGTACGGCACTCACGTCGTGAAATCCTCTGGAGGGTAGACTCCTCTCTGGAAGCTGGAAGACATTAGATGGGCACTTCCGTGCGAAGATTGGCAATAAACCTACAGAATCGAGTTGATGGAGTATTCAAACTAGGCTCATTAGTATTTTTTTTTTTTTGGATTGAATCTGAGACAAAAAAGAAAAACTCACGAATTCGGCCACCAGCTTCGCCGATCCTGCTTGTGTATAAGCTTCTGCTCATATCTCACAGACTATTAATTCGTACCTTTCAAGGAAAGCTTGTGGACCTTGGACTTATCCTTAGTAGCGGACATGATGGCTGTGAGAGTTCCCGGAATTGAAGTGTTGACGACAAGCTGCTCAGCGTAAAGGGTTGCATGCGAGGGGAAAGAGGGAAGCTTTGTTTATCGAGACAGTCACCGCGGCAATCTGACTGACCGCCCGCCGGCCTGGTCTCCGCAGCCGCACTTTTTCCGCCCGCAAACTGGACGGAGACTTGCCTGTGCCTGACCGTGTCTGCAGTCCGCATACTATCTCGTCCAAGCAATTAATTCCCATGCAATTGCAGACCTCCAGATGCGAGGATGCCTGCAGTTAGCCAGGTGGCTGCGCGCAGCACCGAAATGTCCTGCTGCAAGCCTTCTCAAGCCGCCGTCCGGCCTTGCTAATCCAGCCCGGTTTTTCACGACTTCCGCCGCATGCTGGGCATCGCGCGGCAGGGCACCGGCCAGCCAGCCAGCCTCCGACCTTGAATCAAGAATCGCAGCTATTCCAATCGACCGATACCGTAACTTTTGCATTGTCGCCCACGTCGACCATGGCAAAAGTACCCTCTCCGATCGGCTGTTGGAACTTACTGGAACCATCCAGCCTGGTATGAACAAGCAGGTCCTGGACAAGCTTGACGTCGAGCGTGAACGGGGTATCACGGTGAAGGCACAGACATGTACAATGATATACAACCATAATGGCGAGGACTATCTGTTGCATCTGGTGGATACACCGGGGCATGTGGACTTCCGTGCGGAGGTTTCGCGCAGTTATGCCAGCTGCGGAGGAGCGTTGCTGCTAGTCGATGCCAGTCAAGGTATTCAGGCTCAGACAGTGGCCAACTTCTACCTCGCGTTCTCTCAGGGCCTGGAGCTGATTCCCGTCATCAACAAGGTGGACCTGCCGTCCGCTGACCCGGACCGTGCTCTTGACCAAATGGAACAGTCCTTTGAGCTTGACACGGAAAGTGCAGTAATGGTATCAGCCAAGACCGGTCTAAATGTACATCAATTACTTCCTACTGTGGTTGAGAAGATTCCGGCGTAAGTTTGGTCTATACAAACCCTTTTAGCCAAGCATTGAAACTGACTCAAAAAGACCGGTGGGAGATGTTAACAATCCCCTACGGATGCTTCTCGTTGATTCCTGGTATGATTCGTACCGAGGTGTCATCTGCTTGGTCCGCGTTTTCGACGGTGAAATTCGGGCAGGAGACCAGCTTGTGTCGTTCGCGACTGGAATCAAATACTTCGTGGGTGAGGTCGGCATTATGTATCCCAATGAGACTGCCCAGTCGGTCCTTCGCGCTGGCCAGGTCGGCTACATCTTCTTCAACCCCGGTATGAAGCGAAGCAAGGAAGCCAAGATCGGTGACACCTACACGAAGGTTGGGTTTGAAAAGGTTGTCGAGCCGCTTCCGGGCTTCGAAGAGCCCAAGGCAATGGTTTTCGTGGCCGCCTATCCCGTAGACGCGGATCACTTTGAGCACTTGGAAGATAGTATCAACCAACTTTGCCTGAACGACCGGAGTATTACTGTGCAAAAGGAATCGTCTCATGCTCTTGGAGCAGGTTTCCGGTTAGGCTTCTTGGGAACACTGCATTGCTCTGTCTTTGAGGACCGTCTGCGCCAGGAGCACGGTGCCAGTATCATCATTACTCCTCCTTCCGTTCCCGTGAAACTTATCTGGAAAGACGGCAGGGAAGAGATTATCTCCAACCCCGCCAAGTTCCCGGAGGATGAAGAGTTGCGCGGTAAGATATCCGAAATTCAGGAGCCTTATGTCGTCGCTACTTTGACCCTCCCCGATGAGTATCTCGGAAAGGTCATCGAGCTCTGCGAATCCAACCGAGGCGTGCAGAAGAGCCTTGAGTACTTCACATCGACTCAGGTCATTCTCAAGTATGATCTGCCCCTTGCGCAGCTGGTCGACGACTTCTTCGGAAAGCTCAAGGGCTCTACTAAGGGCTACGCCACCCTTGATTACGAGGAATCGGCGTGGCAAACAAGCAACATCGTCAAGTTACAACTTCTGGTGAACAAAGCGCCAGTAGATGCGGTCGCAAGGCTCGTGCATTACAGCCAAGTAGAGCGATTGGGCAGACAATGGGTAACCAAGTTCAAGCAGCACGTTGACCGACAGCTCTTCGAGATCGTTATCCAAGCAGCTGTTGGCCGCAAGGTTGTGGCGCGTGAGACCGTCAAGCCGTATCGGAAGGATGTCCTCGCGAAGCTGCATGCCAGTGATGTCAGTCGGCGCAGGAAGCTGTTGGAGAAGCAGAAGGAGGGACGTAAGAAGCTGCGGGCGGTTGGAAATGTGGTGATCGAACAGAAGGCATTCCAGGCTTTCTTGGCTAAATAATGGGCGGTTTCATGCCTGCCACTGTACAGTATACTATATCATATCTACTTCTGCTGTATTATTATATTGATAAATAGAACTTTGCATCTTGAATGCCTCTTTTTATATTGACAATGATGTCTGTATAGAATTGTAGTATACAGTGTGAATACCGGGCATCCCGGGGACTCTGATTGGCGGAGCGGCGGAAGCTGGAGCTTACAATTTAACCGCAGAAAAGTTCGTCGCCGACCCCGCCGCCGCGGTCGTCTGCAATTTCTCCCCCTCCCGCGGTCGCTTTCTCTTGCTGGCTTTCCTTCCTCCAGATCCACAAGCTGCAGTGCTGCAGGGTGCAATACTGATCATCATTCGTCTGGGCGACCTTCTTGCTCGTCGTACGGTGATTTCAGCGCCGTCGCATTCTACCCGTTGAGTCAGTGTCGCCTTGCCATGATCATCATCTGACAACGGCGATGCAGCCTCCAGAAGGTGTGCAGGTCGACCTGGGCAAGGCCCAGGTCATTGACCGCGTTCCCAAAGTTATCAAGGAGTTGAAGTTTGGTGTTCTGTAAGCATGACTCTGCTTCTCCCAGTTCTACCCCTCTTGGATCTCCGCTGCGGAGCAGTCAAGACTAATACCGTGCGCCAATCGTCCAGGTCCAACGATGACATTGTCAGCCAAGGTGTGGTGGAAGTTTCGGATCGCAAATTCTTCGATCTCGACCATGATCGAGCGGTGGTAGCCAATGGCCCTCTCGATGCGCGCATGGGTATCTCCAACAAGACCTCATCATGTCAGACTTGTGGTGGCGCTCTGCAGGTTTGCAATGGACATTTCGGTCACGTCCGGCTCGTATTGCCAGCCTTCCACGTCGGATACTTCAAGCGAGTCATCACCATCCTACAGGAAGTTTGCAAAGAATGTTCGCGCATTCTGCTCCCCGAAGCCGATCGCCGTGCCTACCTTCGTGAAATGCGTCGTCCTGGGTTGGATAATTTGCGGCGCGGCCAGATCGCGAAGCGGATCAACGAGCGGTGTCGCAAGACACGCAACTGCGAGGCCTGTGGTGCGGTTAACGGTGTGGTGAAGAAAGCTGGAACGAGCGCCCTCAAAATCACTCACGACAAATTCCGTGCATTCAACGCCTCGACTTCCGTCAAGAAAGTTCCGCCGCCTAGCAAGATTGTTTTCGACCGGTCATTCGACGAAGCCAGAACATCCAACGCGGAGGTTGAGAAACATTACAAGAAGGCCCAGGATGATATGAACGCTCTCCGCGTGCTGAACCTCTTCAAGAAGATTTCCGATACCGATTGTGAGCTGTTGGGTCTGAACCCGAAGGAAGCAAGGCCGGAAATGTTCCTCTGGCAGTTCATTCCCGCTCCTCCGGTGTGTATTCGTCCTTCCGTCGGTCAGGATGCGGCGTCCACCGAGGACGATTTGACAGCCAAGCTGGGCGATATTGTTCAGAGCAACATCAACCTGAAGAATGCACTGTTGAAGGGTGCGCCGGTACAGACAATCATGGAGTGTTGGGACTACATGCAGCTACAGATTGCCGTGTATATCAACAGTGATGTGCCGGGTCTGAACAAGGCAGACCTTGGAAAGCCCATTCGTGGTTTTGTGCAGCGTTTGAAGGGTAAGCAGGGTCGATTCCGTGGTAACTTGTCCGGAAAGCGTGTGGATTTCTCAGGCCGTACTGTCATTTCCCCCGATCCTAACCTGCGGGTCGACGAGGTTGCGGTCCCTGAGTTGGTGGCCAAGAACATGACCTATCCTGAAGTTGTTACTCGGTACAATAAAGAGAAGCTACAGCAGAGAGTCCGAAACGGCACGAAGAAGTGGCCGGGTGCAAACTACATCATGAAGAAGGGCCAGACATTCAAGCTCTTCCTTAAGTATGGTAACCTGAACATGATTGCCGACCAGCTGCAGGAGGGCGATGTTATTGAACGTCACATCGAGGACGGTGATATTGTTCTTTTCAACCGACAGCCCTCTCTGCACAAGCTCAGTATTCTGTCTCATTTTGCCAAAGTCCGTCCTCACCGGACGTTCCGATTGAACGAGTGTGTCTGTAACCCTTACAACGCGGATTTCGACGGAGACGAGATGAACCTGCACGTGCCTCAGACGGAGGAGGCGAGAGCCGAAGCGATGGAACTGATGGGAGTTAAGAACAACTTGGCCACGCCCAAGAACGGAGAGCCGATTATTTCTGCCATTCAAGATTTCATTAGTGCTGCCTACATTCTCAGTAGCAAGGACAACTTCTTCGACCGCCGCTCGTTCACCCAGATTTGCCTGTACATGCTGGGTCCGCAGACACGCTTCGACCTCCCCCCTCCTGCTGTGCTTAAGCCTCAGATGTTGTGGACCGGAAAGCAGGTTTTCAACATTCTCATGCGGCCGAACAAGGATGACCCTGTTTTGGTCAACCTGGATGCTGCATGCAGAGAGTTCAAGGCTCCCAAGGATGGTAGACCACGCGATCTAGACCCGAAGGATGCCTGGCTCGTCATCCGAAACTCTGAGGTGATGTGTGGTGTGATGGATAAGTCCACCATTGGTTCCGGAAAGAAAGACAACGTCTTCTATATTATGCTGAGAGATTACGGGCCGGTGGCGGCTGCTGAGGGTATGAACCGCTTGTCCAGGCTCTCAGCCCGCTGGTTTACGAACATGGGATTTTCGATCGGTATTACCGACGTATATCCCAGCGAAAAGCTCTTACGTTCGAAGCATAACCTCGTCGAAACGGCCTACGCACAGTGTGACGAGGTCATTGCCAAGTACAAGGCAGGCACGCTGGAGAAGTATCCTGGTTGTGACGAGTTGCAGACCATGGAGAACCAATTGTCCGGTATTCTCAGTAAGGTCCGTCAGCAGGCAGGTGACGAGTGTATTGCTCAACTGAGCAAGTACAACTCGCCCCTAATCATGGCCACGTCTGGATCCAAGGGTTCCAGTATCAACGTGTCCCAGATGGTTGCCCTGGTCGGACAGCAGATTATCGGTGGTCAGCGTGTGCAGGACGGCTTCCAGGACCGTACCCTGCCGCACTTTCCCAAGAACGCTCGCCAGCCCCCGTCCAAGGGTTTCGTCAGGAACAGTTTCTTCTCCGGACTCGAGCCCACGGAGTTCATCTTCCACGCCATGTCCGGTCGTGAAGGTCTGGTCGATACGGCTGTCAAGACTGCCGAGACGGGTTACATGTCTCGTCGGTTGATGAAGTCGCTTGAAGATCTCTCAACCAGATATGATGATACCGTGCGTAACTCGTCGGCGGCCATTGTCCAGTTCCAGTATGGCGATGATAAGCTCGATCCCTTGGATATGGAGGGTAAGGCCAAGCCTGTGCACTTCGATCGGACTTTCATTCACGCCGAATCCACGACTTACAAGAACGACGAGCGGAGTTTGCTTCCGGCTGAGATTATGGAGATCTGCGAAGAGATGCTTTCGAAGGAGCGCTCCAAGCTGGTGCGGAAGGATCTGATGGGCAACGAGCTCGGCTACATGGATCGGTCTGACCATGGAATTGATCAGTTCGAGAGTGCTCGTGACTTCCTCGAGTCTATCCAGCAATACGTCGCTACGAAGGCTGACAAGCTAATTTCCCGCGGTGGTGACATCGACCCCAACGACGAGAGAAGTCAGAAGGGTCTCAACCACACCGGCAAGCTGACCGAGCGGACACTCCGCACTTTCATCTCCTCATGTTTGATGAAGTACAAGAAGGCCCAGGTCGAGGCCGGCCACGCCGTCGGTGCAGTTGGTGCACAGTCCATTGGCGAGCCTGGTACGCAGATGACGCTGAAGACTTTCCACTTTGCTGGTGTCGCCGGTATGAGTATCACGCAGGGTGTACCCCGTATTAAGGAAATTATCAACGCGTCGAAGGAGATCAGTACGCCTGTCGTTGCTTGCGAGCTCGTCACGAAGGACAACATCATCGCGGCGCGGATCGTCAAGGGACGTATCGAGAAGACCTACTTGCGAGACATTATCCACTATGTCCGTGAGACATGGACGGGCAAGGAAGCCTACATCACGGTGAAGATCAACTGGAAGACCATCCAAGACTTGGCGCTGGAGCTGAAGATCGAGAACATCTTGTCGGCGATCAAGAACCACAAGCGGTTCAAGGCAGACGATCTGAAGTTCCGCTGCTCACGGTCCCACATTCACGTCTACATGGACGTGGACCCGTCCACCAAGGCCAACCTGTCTAAGACGGAGATCGCCCACACCAGTTCCGATCCTTTCCTCCGTCTGAAGCACCTGAAGCGCATGCTTCCCGACATCCAAGTCCTGGGTCACCCCCAGGCCTTCCGTGCCATCATCCGAACCGACGAGACGTCTACCACCAACACGCTTCTGGTAGAAGGCTACGGTCTCCGGGAGTGTATGACGACGATGGGTGTGGACGGACTGCGCACGTCAACCAATAACGTTATGGAGATGCGGGACGTTCTCGGTATCGAGGCCGCACGGACGACCATCGTGCAGGAAATCAGCGAGGTCATGAAGGACATGGACATTGATCCGCGACACATGCAGCTGCTGGCCGATGTCATGACCTACAAGGGTGAAGTGCTGGGTATCACGCGATTCGGTCTTGCGAAGATGCGTGACTCCGTGCTGCAGCTGGCATCGTTCGAAAAGACGGCCGACCATCTGTTCGACGCCGGTGGTGCGGGTCGCAGCGATCTCATCGAGGGTGTATCCGAGTGTATCATTATGGGCAAGACGGTGTCACTGGGAACGGGAGCGATGGAGGTGGTGCGCAAGATGAACTTCTTCGAGGGGCAGATCGGGGCACGCAAGACAACGTTCGAAGATACATGGAGCGAGGTGTACGAGGCGCCATTGGAGAGAGCCAAGGCAGCTCGCCGCAAGCGATCATGATATACATAAAAAAAAAAAGCACTCGATAACGAGGACTTGTAAAAGGGACGGGTTAAAAGCATACCAGGCGTTGTATGTTGTGTACTTGTGTACTTTTAGCGATAGCAGAAAACTGCAATTTCACACCACTATGCCTTTCAAAAGTAGTAAATCTTGAAGACTACCTACCTAGGACTTATCATAAAATAGTAGTTAATCTGGTGGTTGCAGCAGCGTCAAAACTACCTGCTTAATAAGTAAGTCCGATAAAGCCATGCATGCATCCATCCATCCATTAATCACCGCCCCACCCGAACTTTTCGATAACATCGATTTCTCCCCTCACTCTCACACCCCTCCATACACAATTCACACCTCTCCTCTCACCACCACCACCTCCTACATTCTCCACACGACATACTCTACACAAGTTACCGTCCTCACCACCACCTCCGCCTCCCAACCGACCTCCAATCCAACGACAATAACCACCACAATGACAACAGAAACCTACACACCCCCACCCCTCCCCCCACCCTTCCACCACACCCCCTCTCACCAAATGCACCTAATAACCCAAGGCGCCGAAGCCCACCTATACAAAACGACGTACCTGAGTCCCTCCACCCCCGCGGCCCTCAAGATCCGCCCAACAAAGCCCTACCGCCATCCGATCCTCGACCGGCGATTGACGCGTGCCCGCGTCCTCCAGGAAGCGCGGTGTCTGGTGCGTCTTGTGCGCGAGGGCGTGAATGTTCCGGCTGTGTTGGCGGTGGATTGGGATATCAATAATACCAACAAGGACAACAACAACCATAGTGGTTCTGGGGGGGATGTGGGTGAGGGTGTTAGGGGAAATGGGGCGTGGATCCTCATGGAGTGGATCGAGGGATGTGTGGTTCGGGTGGTGATTCAGAGGTGGGAGAGGTATATCAAATCTCGCTCTGCATCTGGTGGCTCTTCTGGGGTGGGTGTTGGGGCGAAGAGGCAGGTTGATGGGGAAGTCAAGCTACAGGATAATGAGATTGAGGAAGAGGAGAAGAAAGTCAAGGGGTTGTTGAGACGGGTTGGGGCTGCTGTGGGCGCGTTGCATAAGGCTGGTGTGGTGCATGGGGATTTGACCACGAGTAATTTGATCTTGAGAGGTGCGACTGAGGGTGAGGTTGATGGGGAAGGGGAAGGAGTGAGTCCTGATATGCAGGGTGAGGTGGTGTTGATTGATTTCGGTCTGGCGAGTCAGAGTATTCAGGATGAGGATCGCGCGGTCGATTTGTATGTTCTGGAGCGTGCGTTTGGGAGTACGCATCCCCGTACGGAGCCGTTATTTGGGGAAGTGCTTGAGGGGTATCGTGCGAGTTATCGCGGGTCGGGGTCGGTGTTGAAGAGGTTGGAGGATGTGAGGATGAGGGGGAGGAAGAGGAGTATGATTGGTTAGGTTTATCATTCTTGTTCTTTTTTTGCGGGGGTAGAGGGATGGTGATGGTGAATGTGCTTGTCATTGAGTCGTTATGTATATGAAGAGAAGATTTAGAAGTAGAACTGGAATGAAATGAACAGAACGAATAACGCCAGCCGTGCTTATCCATGCGAGGGTGTAATCATGTAGTGAGCAGACGAAGAAAGGAGATAAAGAAGGAGGAGGATGGTTACGATCTCTCCACGCAGCTGCCTACATCCGCCAGCGCAAAATATCCCTTATTCTCCACCACCCCCCGATCCTTCACCACAGCCGTATACTTGACCACCCACTGCGGCTCGATATCGCCCTGGATACCGTCCAGCGCATCCGGCGACGAGGCCAGAATCCCCGCGCCCTTTTCCCCAGGCCCAAGTAGGTCCCGAGTCGTGCCGACAGGCAAGATATCCATGCAGTCGTTATGCGTCAGCAATTGAATGTGCTCTTGCTTTGCGTAGAGAATCAGCGACTTAGGCACGACACAACAATCCTTCAGATTGATCTGATCGACAGACGGCTTGACCTTCGTGTGGGGAAGAAACCGGGCGAGCCGTTCGCTTCCGAATTCCGCGACGCCCAACTGTGAGATCATGCCCTGCTCCTGCAGACCCTCCAGGGTGCGCCATGTTTGGATCATGCTGTCAAAGTCATCGGGTTCTTCACTGCCATTGTCGGAGGAAACTTCTTCGTCGCTGTCGTCGTCGGCGTCGAAGAGGATGCCCGGGAAAGAGACAATCAGCAGGTCGATGGAGTCGACGTGCAGCTCTTTGAGAACGAGATCGATGGCTTCGCGGGTGTGTGCGCAGCGCCGGGAGGCAGGGATGCCCGGAAGGTAGAATAGTTTGACGGTGATGTCGTATTGGGAGCGCTCTTCGGAGAGACCGTGCGCGAAATCGGTCGCGGGGATGTATAGGGCATTATCGCCTTGTTTGGTCCAGGTGGTGTAGGGAGGACGGTCGCTGGAGGGGTCTGCAGCGTGTTGGGCGGCTTGGAAGTTTGTGCGCAGGGAGTTGATCAGTTCGACGTTGGACTTTTCGGTGGGATGGCGGATGATAGTCTCGCCGCTTATCATGATATTTCTGTGGTTGTTAGCGGGGAATTGGGAGGGTACGAGGATAGACGTACGAGGAGGAGAGAATGAGCTTCATGATGACGGGATTTCGAGAGGATACTTCGAGGAGAGAAGGGATGTAGACGAGGGAAAGAGGGGGATTCGGAGATGGAATGCGCTGAAGTTGGCGGGGAGAAAGATAAAGATGGATGGATTGGTTCAATTATTGCTAAGCAGCCCCGCGGGGACCGGCCCGCCTGTCTTGTGCTTATCCATCCACAGCCTTTATCCATTCATAACCCTGAGTTTACTCTGTACACTCCGGTTTCATTACATACTAACTGGTCTACATCTAGTCGTAGTCCACGGTGGGATCCCAATCCGTGGGCGAGTATTCGCCTGTGTGCAATAACTTCATCTCCTCCTCTGTCAATGCGAAATCAAACACCTCCGCATTTTCTTGAATCCGACTGGGCGTCACCGATTTGGGCAGAGGCACAAATCCCTACATCGTCAGCATGGAGTCCTTCCAACTGCTTCCAAAGGACATACCTTTTGTAGCCCCCAGCGGATCATGATCTGTGCCGGCGACTTGCCATACTTCTTTCCCAGCTCCTTCAACACACGTTCGCCCATGCGCGTCCCATGCGCCAAGGGGGAGTAGGCCTGCACCACGATATTGCGTTTCTGCAACCACTCTGCAATCTCCGATCGGTCCAGCCACGGGTGCAGCTCATACTGGCCGACATCGATCTGTCCCCCTCCCCCGGACTTGATGTACTCTTCCAGCTCGTCGAGGTGGTGGATTCCATAGTTCGACACCCCAATGGATCGGGTCTTGCCGGCTTCCTGTGCTTCCACAAGGGCCTTCCACGAGCCGAGACGGGCTTCTTTTCCGCCGTAGGGAGCATGTAGCAGGATTCTACTTTTGTCAGCATCATCTTCTAATGGATGTAAGCACGTAGGGTAAACTGACAGATCGAAATATTCCTGCTGTGCTTCACGCAGACTTGAGTCGATAGCTCGCTTAGTACGATCGTATCCCATCGATCCTGGGGGAATCTTGGTCGTGAAGAAGATCTCCGACCGGGGAAGACAGGAATTTGCGATGGCGCGCCCACAGGCCTTCTCGTTGCGATACATGATAGCAGAGTCGACCTGGCATCTGATGAGTGTGACGAATGATGGGAGAGATGAGTGTAGAACCTACATGGCGGTAACCGATTTTGAGTGCTTCGAGAACAGCTTTCTCTGTTTGGGATGCCGGGCTGGAAAAGTTAGTTGGGATGTAAGTTGAAGCCTGGCTCAGTGCACGTACATTAGATAGACCTGGTTCACTAGTTAGTTTGCCTGGTCGGATGAGGAAAGTTCAGGATAAGCTCACCCCGTATCCAAGGATGGGGATCTCATGGCCAGAGTTTAGACGATAAGTCGAACGGAGACTCTGTAGAGCAGACATGGTGAGTTCACTATCATAGAAGATATGAAGGAAGTGCGAAGAAGATAGGTTGAAGATGGAAGAGTGGATGGCTACTTACTGTTTAATTAGAGAAGACGAGCGATGAGATCATCGCGGTGGGGTTGGAGTCTGGCCTTAACAATGAAAGCCCTTAATAATAACAAACTGATAGATTATACTTTGTTAGATTTGTATTTGCAATCTTGGCATCCATTGCAGCATTCTGGAATCCGGATATTATTCTTTCTCTTCTGTCAGCTGTATACTGTACATTAGTTAGTTAGCTCCTGCTCAGCCCCGTCCGGCATGGGTGGAAGTAGACATCTTCACTCCGAGGCTGACCGAATTACTTTTCAGCTCCTCCTTTCTCCGCAATAACGCCATTTTTATTCCGGCTTGTAATTCCCATCTGACCCTCTGCAGGCTTGCTTTTGGCACGCCTATCTATAGTGGAACATACTTCTTAATCCGATCAAACCACCAATGAGCTCTAACGATGGCAAACCCCGACAGCGAGTCTACCGGACACGGTCCAAGTCAGGGTGTACCACATGCAAGTAAGTGACTTGTCTTCCCTCACGATAAGAAATATACAGTACTAATTCACATCCATAGAAGTAAGTCATGTCTGATACCCCGTGAAAATAAGATACGGTTATCGCCCACACACTATCTTCTTTATCACCACAGTAAGGCGCGTCAAATGCGATGAAACCCGACCAAGCTGCCGAAGATGCGCTTCCACAGGCCGCAAATGCGACGGCTATGCGACCAACCTCACCTCTACTCTTACAACCACCATCCTTCCACGTCCTTCCCATACCCTCACTGGCTTCCGCTATGCCACAGGGGAGCGTGATATCCGATCATTCCAGTTTTTTTACGAAAAGACCGTCTTCTCTCTAGCCGGCTACTGTGGCTCAGAATTATGGAGTCGGTCAGTCTTGCAAGTCAGTCAGAAGGAGAAGCCCGTATGGCATGCCCTGGTCGCCTTGGGTGCACTGCATGAGAACTTCGAGAATGGTCAGCGAATTCCAGGACCCTGGTTCAGCCGAAAAAGCCATGACACCTTTGTCTTGCAACAATACCTTGCGGCCATCCGGGCTCTTTTGCGTCCGTCGGAGGATTCAGGTAGCCCATCGTCCACATATGTGATCAGTAGTCATGGCGCGACGCTCTCGGTGGACGTGTGTCTTATATCATGCGTGCTATTTGTCTGCTACGAGGTATGTTATTATACCACTCTTTTGGCAGACACGCATTTATTTGACCATCACTCAGATCATGTCAGCCCACTACGTCGCAGCCCTCAGCCACATCAGAAGCGGCATGAAGATCCTGGGCGAAGTTGCCTACGACGCAAGCACAGGAACATACCACCATCCCCTGCTCAGACCATCCACGGTACCGAATCTCGAGATCGATGAAATACGCAAACTCCTCATCCGCCTACAGATCCAAGTATATGCCTTGGTACTACCCCATACCCAACCCAAGCTCCCTCCCCATACTAACAATCCCACACAAGACCCGATCCAACGAAGACAGCCCAGCCTACAGCACCGCCCAACTAAAATGCACATCCACCGACATCATCGAAATCCCCTCAACCTTCACCTCCCTCTCCCAAGCCCGCAACATCTACGAACACTACAGCAGCACATACCGACACGACTACCACACTCTCATCGACACCCAACCCTCAACACCACCATCATCATCCCCATCACCATCACCAACAACAAACCCATCCCTCGCCCCCCTAATCCACCACTACGCCACCATCCTAACCAAGTGGTCCACCGCCCTCGACCACTTCGAACAAACCCGCGGCTCCACCCTCACAGCCAAGGAACAAATCGGGCTTAAAATCCTCCAAATCCACCGTCTCGAATACACCATGATGCTCGAACAATACAACTCGGGCTCCTCCGACTCCACGATCTGGGACCGATTCAACCCTATCTTCAAACAAATCATCTCATTATCGAAATCCGTCGTGCAGATGTCCAACCCATCATCATCATCATCATCATCATCACCCACCAATACCACATTAAATCCCACCTTCTCCCTCGACCTCGGCATCATCGCCCCCCTCTACACAACCGCCACATTATGTCGCGACCCCCTCACCCGGCGCGAAGCCGTCGATCTTCTCCGCTCCTGTTCCCGGCAGGAAGGCGTCTTCAGTAGCCAATTATGTGCCATCATGGCGGAGAAGGTTATCGCGCTCGAAGAGCATGTTGCGCTTGCAGCCGGGGGTGTGGACTATGCGAGGGATTCCGCGGCTATTACGGGGATGGTCTTGAGAGATGGCAATGAGTTGCAGTATCGGTCCGCGGTCATTACGAGGTGTTGGGAGGTGCCGGAGAAGGCGAGGCTCACGTATGCGTATCCGGAGTTTGATCTGGTGGGCAAGAGGGTTTGTTTGACTATTGGGCAGGATGATAGGGTGCATGTGAATATTCCGTGGTGGCCCGGGGGTGTGGTGGTTTTTGGGGCGGAGGAGGGGTGAGATGTTGATGAGGATAGGGGGTGGGGGTGGGGATGGGGGTGAGTCCTGCGGTTGTTAAGATGAGTATAACTATTATTTGAGGAAGTGGAAGACTAGATATAGAATATCATGTTCAGGAGGGAGTATATTGTTTGGTAAGGAGCTAGAGCTGGGCAACAGTCCACGTGCGTCCACTGCCTTCGGCTTAATTCTTTTTTGGGGAAATCGTATAGAATCTTCATATATAGGTGTCCAATTTCAAATCCACTGTGTGGCAATTCTAGTAGACCAATAGAGATCCAAGAGTCAAGAAGCATAAATCATAGATACAAGAAAGTAGGGGCTCCCCATAGGGCCAACTGCTAATCACTGTGCGCCATTTGTCGCCATCCAAATGAAAGGGTTCTCGAACGCAGATAAATCAGACATATAGGAAAGAGCGTGCAAATCATTTCACCTCGTTGGCGTCAGAGAATGGGCTCTCGACGCGCGGGGGGAGGTGTCGACTGCTTCGGTTAGACTGGGTACCTTCGGGTCTCTCGAGCAAAGATGACGCTCGGGCAGACGCTCGGCGATCGGTCTCTGCGGGTTGATCCTTGAAAGGGCTCTGGCTGACGGCTGGCGAGTCTTCAATCACGGTAGCGGGTCGTGATTGTGTATCCGCCTTAGCCGTCTCTGTCTTGTTGGTGTTCTGTGCCGGTGTAGTCTTCGGCGCCGAGTCTTCTTCATCCGAGGAGTTTTCGTCGAAGCCTGAGGTAGGCGTCTCTTCCTTTTCTTGGGTACTAGGTGACTTAGAAGCAGCCGCACTATTTGTCTCCGGTTGCTCCTCGATGGTCTGGACAGCGGGAGACGCAGAGGCGTTGTTGTTCTTCTTCTTCTTCTTCGAGGCACCTCTCACCATAACCGGCTTGGCGGTAACAGTGCGTGCGACAATCGAACTGTTGCTGGTAGTCGTGGTGACACCTGCCTTGGCGAGTTGTGCCTGGGTGATGGCTGGAACAGCGGGCGCATCGGCAGCTCCGTTGATGTTGACCACCGCCGCCCGTGTGCGCATGACCTGTTGTGCAGGCATCGGGCTGACGATGGCATTGTTCCGGTAGATAGTGGTGGCCACACTGCTGCGCAAACTGGGAGCGATGCTGCGGCGTTCGTTCGACATTTCCGACCATGTGGAGTCGCGGAGATCGCCGGGCATGAAGAAGTGCTGATCCGGGTGGGCACCGGGCAACGGAGGAACAGGCGGCACGAGGTGACCTGGAGTTTCTGGGGGCGAGCGGTTGGTGACACCGGGAATATATGCGATCTGAATGACATTGGAGGCGCGAGTAAGGACGGTGGATGCGATCGAATGAGTCGATTTTCTCGACTGTCGGGCGTCGTTGAATGTGCTGGCCTTTTCTGCCACACTGGCTGCCTGTTCCTGGCGCTTCTTCCGGATGAAGAACCACCACACGAGGAACGTCACAATCGCAATAAATGCAATACCACCAATGACTCCTCCCGCAATCGCTCCGGCGTCACTGCCTCCTCCACCCGAGTTGTTTGGGCTAGAGCTGTCGCTAGACGTTGGGGACTTGACACATTGGGTGCTGGCACACGCAGAACATGACTGACTGGTCATCGTACATGTATAGCCATCGTCGCAGGTCGGGCAAGACGGTGATGTAGAGGGACATGACACACAGCTTCTGAAGGACAGAAGGGAGCGGGCGTACAAGACTTCAACACATCGTGTCAGTATTCGGAGTGTGAATCAGACCAGGTAGAAGAGGACATACCATTGGGGGAGGATGTATCGGGAATATGGAAAGACATGATGAAAGGTAAGATGTGAGTTCGAAAATGGGTCGCGGCGAAGGGATGAAAAACAAGGAGGTATAAGGTTGGGTCGTGATAAAACGCTGCTGCTTCAAATGGGCGAGAAAAGAGTGGCAGGCCGATCAACGGCAAAGCGAACGTGCAGAATGTAGTGTATCTGGTAAAAGAGTGTGGGTTCTCAACGGACGTCAAGTCGTGAGGGTGGTTACGAGGTCATCAAAAGGAGGATGGGTGATTTTAGACAAGCGAACGGATGTCGGTGGTAGGGAAGACGGTCGGCGGACGGTAGGCAACAACGGTCATAGTATGCGATCTAAGGTGGATCTCCGTTAAGGTGAGGCGGTAGATGATTCTCCCAGTCGGGCGTTTTGGACAGTCAGTGCGATGGACAATTCAACCCCAGTGGCAGTTGATATTTGATAGGTCGCTGGGGTTGACGTCGGAGAAACACGCGTTGGTGGCTGCCAGGTACAGAACCACCGCAGGGACAATGGATTCAGGGGAGATCGAGATGACAGGAGGAGAATGAAGGCGGTATGTCCGGGGGTTGGGGAGAGGAAGACGAGGGGGAGAACGAGTTGATGGCCGAAAAGGAAGAGAAGAGAGCAAAAGGATCAAAAGGGAAGAGAGAGAGGGAGGAAGAAGAAGAAGCAGAAGCAGAGGTAAATGAGTGAAAGTCGAAAGAAAGAAATGACCGATAATAATAGGAATTCGAACAAACCGAAAGGGAACGAGGAAGTAAGCAGACAAACGACTGAAAGTGGTGGTGGTGGGTGTGGGTGTGGGTGTGTGGAAGTGGAAGGGGGTGGTGGGCGGGAGACGCGGAGAGGGCGAAGGCCTGACTCGATTGGGTTTAGTGCTGGGCAGTGATTTTTATGCCCACTCACTCCTGCCACTTACTGCCACAGTTTATGTAGGGGAGGGGAACCAAGTCAATCCCCATTCATTTATCTATGGACTGTCCAATGTTGGTTCCTCCCAAAAGATGGGTTGACCCTCATCTTCATCTCCCCTCACCACTCAGCATCAACGAAGAACCACATCAAAAAGTCTAGCCCATCTATCTACATGTTTGTCTTCCCGTCTTCTTCCAGCCCATCGCACAGGCCGGATCACTGCTCCATGGCGTGGAACGAACGCAATTAACCCGACCAGCAAGCGGCACGCCAGCCATTGTCAATAGGAGACTTAGTAGTCCGGGAATAGTGCCGGGATATTGACCGACTATAGCGAATTCTGCGAGAAACTTGTCCTACTAGCATCCCCCTCTCCGGAAGGAAAATTGATCAAACTATTGGAGAATTATTCTTGAAGAGGGGAAAATGGAAAATCCTATCCAGCCGACCGTGCAGAGGAATGGTGGGAAGGTCGCAGAAATCCCATGAACGGACGTACATGCCTCTGTGCGCTGCTGCAACAAAGATGCCTAGTCTACCACATAAACCACCCTCCCCTGGCATATACGGAACGGTGGAGGAGGGTTCCCATCATGCCCCATGATTCCTTACATCGGGTGTCTCAAGTGCAACCAACCATTCTCTGGATGTGTGCCAGGCACGGCCGGCCGTGCCTGGACTGGATGGTCTCGAACCTCCAGCCCACGTTGGATTCCTTCGCCCGGAAATTAACACGGGATGTCTGGTCGAATCATGAGGCCGCTACACACCCACCCGAAGCCTCAGGCACGGCAGACGAGCTGATCCATTTGATTAACTCATTAATCGAGATTAGATGCCCATTCTGCTTCTTCTTCCTCTTTCCACCATTGCACTCGCCTATTCCTGTCACCGGCATTTGGGCTAGTCTATCATTCCCGCAAACAGCCGACCGTTGAAGGACTTGGCCTTTCCCATAGCACCAGATGTCAGGTTCCATGGTGAGACTTGTCAGCCAGCCCCAATAGTCGACAATAGTAGTATTACAGTTGGGGGTGATTCTTATCCATACAGGAGTACGTAGGGAGTCGACTAATCACTAATACTGAAGGAACACATGTTCGACAGGCCTACTGTAATGAGAACGGCCAGAACGCGAATGAGCGGGTTCGAATGGCTCAAGCCACGCGTCATCCGGTCTCGATCCCGACAAACCAGTCCATGCCACCACTGACCGTTTTTCTCTTCAACTTTTGGCAGAGATTTACATGAGTGGGCAAGAAGCTTAATGACAATAACATGAAATAACATGAAGGGTTTCTCGTTAATTCCAGCCTTAGGGTCAACCATACCTTGTATACACAGCAATACTGTACTCATTCTGCACCTGCTGCCACACTGGTATAATCCGGAGTTGGGTCCCGATGGCCCCCAGTTCCATATTATCTAGTGGATATGGAATTAATCAATATTCATGCCGAGTCTTCAATAGATCTGTGCTTTCTCCATAGGCTGTCAAACCATATCCATATTATTGATTTGACAGAAATGACATTTCAATAGTGTCATAGCCTCTCCCTGTCTCTCTCCCTTTACTCTTGGCATGTGCTTAGCTTGCCATCCTCCAACAGTCAACCATTCGATAGCCTCCACCACACCTTGACTGGACTACCAAATATGAAGAATAAATTGATTTCTGCACATTATTTACATTCTTACTCACATACCCCGGTGGTTGGCTGGTTCAAGGGGGGGGCCACGGTCATCTTTGGGGCCATCATCCCCTGAATGCAAATTCCGTGCCTCTGACTGGTCAGATGGCATGATTTGGCCCTGAGATTGACAAAGCGTCATCTTCATCTGGATGTCAATCTAATACTATTTCGGTATTTACTAGTAGATGTACCAGAAGCTTTACTAAGACAGGAGCTGTATGTTCCATCATCGGACTCAACCTCTGTGAAAAGATCGTTGCTGAGATACATCAGGAGAGTATTATATGTAATTATATGTAGGCTCGGAAGCCACCAGTATATTTAGGCTATGTAAAATCATCCTACTACTGAATATTAAAATATGGCAGTCTCTTATGCGAGATAACTATCATTTGGATATATATAGAGTGATTAGCGTGATACAGTATGTATTCCCCTGTTCATCGGCCCCTTATGGATAAGCCTTTCGTCTCACCTCTGCGTGAATCCTTCAAAAAAAGACTTACTAAGCGTCTGATGAAGTTGGTTACGCAGTTAAGTTTATCTTGTTGAAGATGACACAGGTGCTAGCCAAATATAGAGATATGAAGATATATAGTCATCAGAGCAGATTATTTCATGATAATGTGTGCTCTTGCATACAGTATACCTCCTCCAGTATATAGTGCTACAGACATAAATATCATCAAGATATTGTTGAAAGCCTGCCCACGTGTAACATCTAAAGTATTATTGCAGCACAAATTTCCGTTCAATCCAACCACAATCTAGGGATGACCTGAATACTAACGTTCGCGACCACGACGAGAACTAGAAAAAGAAAGAATTGATGGTGAGATCGAGCGTGCCCGATGGCCTCTCTCGCACAGGGCTCTCATGCATTTCGGCGACATCAGCGAGAGGGGTGTATCCTGGAGCATCATCCTCCCCGTCAATCTCGTTCCACTCTGGCCGCAATGCAGGATCGACAGGCAGCCGGCAAGATCGATGACTCGATTGATCATGGGTGTCGCCAAGGAGTAGTATTGGATTGCAGATGCCCTTGTGTTGACGTGAGCACTGAGGATCGTCCATGGTTGTTATGTGCTACTGCTATGCGGCAGGTTCAGGTGCGTTTCGTGTTGTTGTACCATGTCTTTTAGAGTATTTTTTCCCATACATTGATGATGCATATATTATCTGGGCCCCAGCACCCTTTATGTGAAAGGGGAGATGGCTGGTATTCGACCTCGTTATCAATTTCCTTCAGTAATATGTGGTTGCTCAGCTCGTCTGAAGACCTAGCGACCTCCTGTGACAATATGTTTACGAGTATCTCGCTGACGGTCAAGCTTTGTGTAATATAAAAGAAGTTCTACGATATCTCGCTAACAAGTGCTTGATCAAGATATCGATAAAATTATCCGATTCCTCATACTACCTAAGTGTATGAGTTGGTATCATGTTGATGAAAGTAGTGAGTTCTGGGACCTCTGGCTTTTATAGGCTGGATGTGGGATATATTGAGATGTCGGAAGGTGGCTGATGATGGCGCCGCAGAGAGATTATATAGTCTAGGAAGATGTAAGGCTTCACCTGATTATATCGTGAATTATATCGGAACTTTTCCCCGTAAACAGGCACTTCACCGGATCTTTCAATTATCTGGCCTGGCCCATGGCCTTTCACCTCCCGAACTCCTCTCTTCGAGGTAGATAGTTACGGATCCGACCCAGAAAGCTCGAAATTGGCAATCCATCTCTATCATGGTAAGATAGTAGGAGTACTATGTACCTCCGCTTCACTTCATGTCTCGACTCTTCGCTGCATACTGTCCACCTGATAGTAAGGGTACATCAAAAGTTCGAGCGTACTGGAAAGGGATGGCCATTCTAAGATTGACAAACTACTCGCGGTATGGAGTCTTTGATACCTATTTCTGGTTGTGGAAGGAGAGGGCAAGCCAGTCTCTGCGGCGTCAAAAGGTACAGAAAATGGAGGCTAGCCTGTGCTCGTGGTTGTGCAGTAGGACGGGTTCACATTACTGCCAAGAACTTGATCAGATTGGATTGAGTCAAGCAGTAAACAAGAGCTACTATCCAATTTATCTGCATTTAAGGTTGATGAAATACTATATTAAAAAAGAAATTGTGGCAAAAACTAATATATATATTCTTATAGTACTAGCTGTACGCTAGTTTATGACGGTTAACATTGAATGTCTTTTTCTGCATGAATGGACTGGAAGATAGTATGCTAACTTCAATCGGCACCAGCCCTAATATATAATACTAAGTACTTCAATGAAACTCAAGTACTTCTACGGAGCATTGCTAGATAAAAGCGGCACTGTTTCACAAACCCCTTAAGGATATATTGGAAATTAGCTGCTGACCCAGAAGAATAACAGCAACCCTAGTAGTACACCGTACAAACAAGCATATTCCACCAAGCATCCACTGCAACGCGCATATCCAGCAGTGCCCGAAGCATGCAAAAGGGTACATGCATAAGACTTTCGCACGAGTCATGCACGATCAGAACAGCCCGAGACTGCGCCCGTCGCTCGTTACGATATGCATACTTCTCCTGTATGGGTCTTCTTTTCAAGTACTACTTCCCTTTCTGTGGCTCTCTTTTTCCACCCCTGAGCTTTGCCCCGACGGTGCTATCATCTCGTCGAAAGGATCTCCGTATTCGTCTTAATACACCGCTCTATGTCTTACTCTCAACCGAAGTCGTTACTTAGTCCCCAGTAGCCGCTGACGATCTGTCTCTCATTCCCGAGACAAGCGGCCAATAGTGAATGCTTCTGCGCTTAGCCTTTGGGACTAAGTAATAGTAGTGGTACCGAGGGTCTTGCTCTATATATATCCCGCCGCTAGTAAATGGACCCAGTGGCTGCAGTGGGATAACTACCATGTATACTACACTGCCGCAATAGATGCACTTCACGACGCACATTCTACTTAGTACATGCGTTTGCTTGGCTTTCACATGTGTATAGATCTGAGCCTATCGCGTACATGTGATCTTGCATCAAGTAACTCACTGCCTGTATGTGTACTGCGGGACAACTCAGTGTTCGGAGATTTACTTATGTGAGCACAGACTAAGCACATACTAAGCATTGATAGGAAAACAATACCGGGGCTTTGTGATGAAGATATTTTGCTACTTGTTTATTACTGACTTAAGCCACGGTACTACTACGTTGCAATCTTATCGTATTAATTTGATTAGGTTGCAACGGCCCAGCGGATGGGTAGTGACCACAGTTTGTATTATCGGTTGTAACCCGTGAAGTAAGAATCACATTCTAAGGTTCATACAAAGCGGAACTACCCGACGACCTTCCAGCGTGGCGACTTTTCTGATGTAAGAGAACCGGTATTCCCGCCGTTCGTGTGCTACTCAAAATATAGCCAAATAAGAGGCAAATTCTGCCAGCCCAGGGCTTCAGGGACGCCGATTCGCGAGCCAGGGAAATTCTGTGTGACTTTGTCGCGCCTTTGGAGGGTGCCACATTGTCTGACTCGCGTTTCACGGGACAAGGGCGACTGTGTTGTCACCGGGTGCTAAAGATAGGATATAGAAAGCTCGAAGCTAACCCCGATGAGGGTTTAGTCCCCTGAGCGCCATAGCTTTCTGTGGCAGTGATGATCATTGACCATTACAGAGAGCTGACCAGTGACATCAAATGATGGCTTGCAAAAGAAAAAGAAAAACCCAAACCAAGAAAAAAGAAAAAAGGATGTGAGTGTGTGTGGACATGCTGGCCATTACCTAATATCAGCACTACTCTCAACAATTGCCAGCCGCTTTGAAACCGCGGCTGACCAGTGAGCATGACCCCTCCAACCGCTTATTGGGCTTTGACTGTCTTTCAATGATCCAGTGTGACCTTGGCAAATTTAAGGATTCCAGGCTAGCGTCGCTGGGTGGCTCCTGATTGACCAACGGCTGATAAACACGGTCTTGAGGCCCCTAGTGAAGGGAGTCTTGAGTTCCCCACAAGCCTATATTTGGCTGGGGAGTTTTAGGGAGTTTAGACTTTTTTAGGTGAGCCCCGCCCCCTGAAACATTCGCCGTATGTCCTGTTTTTCGGCGATACCAAACCTGTCCAATACCAGCCGCAATTAGTTTTCCGATCTCCGATAGGTCACTTTTGACTACTGGTTACTATGGCAGACGGGCAGCTAGCACTACAGTATGGGGGCCAGTTTGGGGGCACTTTTTGGGGGCGATGTTTCGTGTTTGGCAACAAGCAATCTACTAGGTAAGATCAATGACAGCACTCTACAGTAGGTAAGCGGAATCTATGATCTTACCGGGAAGGGGACATTCAATCTGAAGATTTAGGGCCCGTCCATTGCTGACTATTGGTGGCTGATGTTGTTTGTTGTAGGTGGCCGAGTTATGCTGGCGAGGGATGTGGAATGCCCATACTTTCAAGGCCAACAGGACCTTGGAAGTTATCTCAACTCCCTATCGTCAAGCCACCTTATGTTATGCTTCGACATCATTATTACCAATTGTTGGATGTTATTGCAGCACGCGTCTAATAACCACTGCATGATACGAGCAGGACGTGATAGCAATGCAAGAAGTGCCATGGGTGGCAAGAATGATATCCATCGGAATCCTCGATAGAACACGGTGTAGACTTAGTACTAGGTAGGTACTTGACCGCCATGCCACACACAGCCACCAATTAAGGAAGGGTATTACATGGTACCTGGCAGGGATACGGTGACAATACGGGACGGGAAAGGATGTGTTTTCAGGGTAATGCGGTAAAGTAAAGAAACTCAAGTGGACCAGGGTCCATATCCACTGGCCCGTAATCAGGGTTCAGACCCTTGATAATTTTAAATACATAACACTGGAAGTGCGGAGCAAAGAGCCAAGGAGGGGGAGCAGAACAATGCCCTCAACTTGTAACAGTCAGGGGCGTTATGTATTGACAGGGAAAAATTACTACGAGTGGCTCTGCTCGCTCTGTCCACAGTAAGTAAGTAGGAGAAAGAGTCTGGAAGGAAAGATGGAAGAATATGATGCAGGAGACGATCCGTGGGCAATAGCCTGCCCAACCTTGCGGTCAAAAGAAGAAATATGAGGGGATACCAAAGAGGGAAATGGCCAAACAGCCCAGCAATTCATTCCCTTCCCCCAACAAGGCGTGTCTGGATTTCCTTTTTTTAATTTATTTTGTAAATGGAAAGGACAAGGACCTGTGAATAATTAGGAATACTCTTTTTATCTTCAACTTTTCAGGTGGTAGATCAAAGGACAACAAGTAAGACATGAGGGACAGACAAGTGACAATAATTAGGATTTGATCGACTAGTAAGCCAGCAGCCATCATCGGTATCCGCCGTGATCGCAGGAAGATCTCAAGTGTATCCAGCCCTTTGGTTAGGAATCCAATTACCCACACCACCCCCCCCAAGACTTTCCACCCCCGTCTCGAACACTGCCAACCAAAAAAAAAAAAAAAAAAAAACCGCCAGGGCGACCCTTGACCATTACCATTTGAAAGGAAAGCTGTCGCTCTCAGCTTGTCGCGCCTTTCTGGGCCTTTTTTCCCTTTTCTTCCCTTCACTTCCTAGTTTTTTCTTTTTTACCCTTTTCTATCCTGAGACCTTCTCGTCTATCCCCATCCCGCCCAGTCTCACTTCTCTCTTCCTCTTTCTTTCCCTTCTCATCCTCCTCCTGCCCCTCCCGGCTTTGTTTTGGGAAACCCTTTCACCAAAGCCCCAACCCTTCTTGTCCGCCACGGTCAGACGGGCTTCCCGAGCTTCTTCCCTCATCCATCACCTGCGATCGCAAGGTACCTCTGCTCAGCCCTGGCGGCTTTTTCACGTTCCTGCTGTTGCTCGCGCCCTTCGACCAATTTTCCTTTCAACTGTTCGTTCCCCCTTCGCTCGTTTCTACCCTCTCGCGCATCCCCGGCCATTTGAGCGCTTGTTTGTTCTCCTCCCTCCACTTGGGGTGGTTGCCCGCTTTATTTACTTGCTCCGTTGTCTGACTTCCCCAGTCGGTACACTCCTTGCTCCTTGTTTCCCTGATACCCTCACGCCTCATTGCTTCTT